ATATAATTAGTTACATATTATTTTTTTGGTCACAAATCAAAAATTTTATGTCACAAATTTTTTTACGATCACATTTCAAAAAATTTGTAAGTCATAGTTTGTTTATTGATCACAAATTTTAAAAATAATTAGTCACGGATTAATTTTTAGTCACGACTTATCATGTTATTGGTCACAACTTATTTTTCGGTCACAAACACAAATTTTATAAGTCACATAATATTTTTCGATCACGAATCAAAAATTTTATAGGTCACAGATTAATTTTTCGATCACAACTCAATAAATTATAAGTCACAAACACAAATTTTATAGGTCACATATTATTTTTCGATCATGAATCAAAAATTTTATAGGTCACAGATTAATTTTTCGGTCACAACTCAATAAATTATAAGTCACAAACACAAATTTTATAGGTCACATATTATTTTTCGATCACGAATAAAATTTTTTATAGGTCACAGTTTGTTCATCGGTCATAAATCAAAAAATTAATTAGTCACGGATTAATTTCTAGTCACAACTTATCAATTTATTAGTCACAACTTATTTTTCGATTACAAATAAAAAATTTTATAGGTCACATAAAATTTTTTATAGGTCACAAATTATTCATTAGTCAGAAAATCAAAACTTTTATTGGTCACAACTCATATATTCATTTCAAATTATTAGATTAATTGGTCACGATTAATTTTTGGTCACAGCTTATCAATTTATTGGCCACGACTTTTTTTCGATCAAAAATAAAAAATTTCATAGGTCACATATTATTTTTGGGTCACGAGTAAATTTTTTTTATAGATCACAGATTATTCATTGGTCACGGAATCAATTTTTATTGGTCACAGCTCATTTATTCATTGTAAATTATCAAATTAATTGGTCACGGTTAATTTCATAGGTCACAAACCACCAACCACCATTTCGGCCACTAGCTCATCGCCACCATCGTCGACATCATCACCACTACAACACCATCACCACCACCACTTCTCGACAATTGGTCACAAAACCCCAAATAGTTGATTACAAACACTTTCGTACCACACCACCAACCACCACCAACACACCATTGCCACAGTCGTGCTGCCAACCGCCACTGCCATCGCAAACACTACCACCACCACTATCACTGTCGCCTCAGTCATCATCAACCAAAAAACACCCTCAAAACCACCTTCACCACCAACCGAAAAACCACATATCCATAATCAAAACCAAAATAACTGGTTTTGAACCACAAAAGTAACCATAGATCCAAAACGACCTCCACCATCGCCTCAACCATCATCAACCAATAATCACTAATAGAGAACACACCTACCTAAGCAAACGAGAGAATGAAGAAATCACCCAATCACTCCCAAAAAAGTGTCTCCGTAGCCTCCAAAACGTCCTCCACCATCGCCTCAGCCATCATCAACCAATAATCACTAATAGAAAACACACCTACCTAAGCAAATGAGAGAATGAAGAAATCACCCAATCACTCCCAAAAACAGTGTCTCCGTAGCCTCGTTTATCGCCGAAAAATATACCTAAACCCTAACCACCACCACCTCGCTACCACAGCCAATGTCAGAACCATCATCGAGAAAGCAACGACATAGCGATCTGCGCGATCTGAATCACATCTACACCATGCTTACCCAGCACAGCAACGCGGCGATGTGCCTCATTACTTGCAGCGCCGTCGTCTATAGCAAGGACTCTCTTTCTGCGCGCCGGTGCTTCCTCAGTGATGCACCGAATGAGGGGAAGGGAGAAGGCCGCCGTTGTGGGGGAGAAATGGAGAGAGAGAGAGAGAGACGAGAATGGGGATAGGCTTCTGCCGTTTGGGGGTTGGGGTGGGAGTGGGTATATCAATTTAATATTATTAGGGTTTGAAATTTTGGTAAATAAAAATATTGATTAAAATAAAATTTCTGATTTTTGAATTGTTAAACTTGCCATCTGATTTTAGAATGTTGAATTTTTAATGTATGATTTTGTGTAATTTTCACTATAAGTTATTCCATTTGTGCAAACGATTAAAAATGGGCCAATAAAACTCAAAGAGAACAAAACGAGTACAAACTCTTATGCACAAACGGGAAAAGTTACCAATTTGGAAACGTAAAAGAGAAGCTAGGTGTCAAATATTCCTTATGCGTGTAGTCGATGGACAATTTTTCTTTTCTTTTCTTTTTTCTAACTTTTTTTGAATTATAAAATTTATTCTTAAAAAATCTACGTCAAACACGCTTTTAATAAATTTTATAGTGTTAAATATGAGAGGAAAAACTGAAGGCACTTGTATAATTAATAATAATAATTTTAGCTCGGTTTTATTTATGACAATTAACATGCATTAGTTTTGAGAAATTAATTAATTGGTACCAAATACACACAATATGTGTCCCAATGTAGCCCATCAATCAAACTAATAAAATAAGCTCTTGTTTGATGCTCATTTTAATTATTATTATTATTATTATTTTTTTTTTTTTTACCACATCTCATGTTCCTACTATATTTTCTTGGTTACATGGTACAACCCCTAAGATTTTTGTTAGAGATGGATGTAAGAGTGATAATGCCGTTGAGCCTTGATGAGTATTTTGCCCTTAGATGCAATTGGAAAAGTATTTACAAAAGCGAGACGAATCCTTCTACTCATAAATTTGACACACTTAAATTTACATTTATTTGACAAATAATCGTGACCTTTAATTTAAGCAAATTCAACACTCAGTATGTATTCCAATAGACTAGTGTGTTTTATTAAAAACCTATACCCTATATCTATATGAAAGAATTAGGATTAGAAGCAATATAATAGTCATAATGACTATGACTATAGTGGTATAAAAATAATTTATAAATACTGTTATATTTACAATTGTTTTATCAATTTTTAAGTTGTTCTGTTTGGTGGTTGGCGGAATCTTATCAATTAAAATGGAAATATCATCCAAACGACTAAAATTGCACGGAAATGAGGAAAATTAAACTCCGCGTGCGAACCGCGTACGAACTTTTTATTCACAAACGTAAAAAGTTTGAAATTTGGAAACGGAGAAAAAGAAGCTAGACATCAAATATCAAATATGTCTTATACCGTAAATGAACAATTTTTTCATTTTTCTTAAAAAAAATTTGAAGTACCATTTTTAACAAAAAATATTCTTAAAAAATCTTCGTCAAATATGTCTTTAATAAATTTTATAGTGTTAAAAATAAGAGGAAAAACTGAAGGTACTTGTATAATTAATAATAATAATTTTTTAGATATTTTTTATTTATTTCATTTAACATGAATTAGTTTTGAGAAATTAATTAATTGGTACCAAATACACATAATATGTGTCCCAATGTAGCAGAAAACAAAACACCTCCAAGCTGATCGATCAAACTAATAAAATAAGCTCCTGTTTTGATGTTCATTTTAATTTTTTTTTTTTACCACATCTAATTTTCCTGCAGTATTTGCCTCGTTAAACGGTACAACCCCTAAGAATTTTGTTAAAGATGGATGTAAGAATGATAATGTCGTTGAGCCTTGATGAGTATTTTGTCCTTAGATGCAATTGGAAAAGTATTTGCAAAAGCGGGATGAATCCACCTACTTATAAATTTGACAAATAATTGTGACCTTTAATTTAAGCAAATTCAATGCTTAGTATATATTCCAATAGATTTGTATGTTTTATTAAGAATCAAAACCCTATATTTATAGAAAAGAATTAGGATTACAAGAAATACAATAGTCACTGGACTGTAGGGATATAAAAATCATTTATAAATACTACTATATTTACAATAGGTTTATCAATTTTTAAGATAACATTTGGGGTTTGTTGGAATCTTATCAATTAAAATGGAAATATCATGCAAAGGACTAAAAACGCATAGAAATGAAGAAAATAAAACTCCGCGTACAAACCGCGTACATCTTTTTATGCACAAACCTGATAAACCGAAAAAGCTTGAAATTTGGAACCGGAAAAAAAAAAAAAAGCTAGGTATCAAATATCACAAATATGTCTCGTACCGTAAATGAACAATTTTTTCATTTTTTGTTAAACTTTTTTTGAAGCAACATTTTTAACAAAAAATATTCTTAAAAAATTGTCGTCAAATATGTCTTTAATAAATTTTATAGTGTTGAAAATGAGATGAAAAACTGAAGTTACTTGTATAATAATAGTAATAATTTTAGATAGGCTTTGTTTATGTCATTTAACATGAATTAGTTTTGAGAAATTAATTAATTGGTACCAAATACACATAAAATGTGTCACAATGTAGCAGAAAATGAAAAAACCTCCAAGCTGATCGATCAAATTAATAAATAAATGAGCCTGTAACTAATGTCTACTTTTTCAACGTTTAATGGTGACCGGGAAGCGGGAAGCTTCACTGCAGTTTCCGGGAAGCTTCACTGCAGTTTCTCTAAGCGTCTGTCCCTTGAGAGCTGCGAGCGTGGCTTGGTGAAAAATTAGGCACCCAGCTATAAATACCTCACTTCAGCCATATCCATCCCACTTCAACAAGTTCTTCATTTTTCATATATTTCTATCAGTTCTATTTCCCTACTTTACCTGCACCCAATTAATCTGGCCATTTCTATCTTCAGATTGAATCAATATCGATTTTGGAATCTGTAATTGTAAACCAGCTTATTGATTAGTATTGCTGCTTGAGTACTGAGAAGCAGAAGAGACCAAAAAGACAGAGGAAAAGGTAGTCCTTATCATAATTTTTCAGTAACTACTGTGCATGCCTGTCTCACTATAAACTTGTTTCAGCATAAGCATCATCTTCATTTTACAGGGAAAACATGTCAGATTTAAAGAAAACACTGCTGCTTTACTGATAGACCAGGAAGCATCACTCCGGAGAGCCTTCTCCATCGCACTTTGAACGAGTTACTTCTCTAATATTCCCTACAAAACCAGGCGGTCCGTTCATCCATATCCATCCTTCCTTTTCATATATTTCTATCAGTTCTATTCGTTTCCAAATTAATCCTGCCATTTCTATCTTCAAATAGAATTTCATCACCCTGCTGGCTTTCAATATCGATTTGGAATCTGTAAACCCGCTTATTGATTAGTATTGCTGCTTGAGTACTGGGAAGCAGAAGAGACCAAAAGGCAGAAGAAAAGGTAGTACTTATCGTATTGTTTCAGTAACTACTGTGCATGCTTTCACTATAATCTTGTTTCAGCATAAGCATCATCTTCATTTTACAGAGAAAACATGTCAGATTTAAAGGAGACTCTGTAACTTGCAGTTTCTCTTGAGAGTTGGATTGGGCTATAAAAAGGGCTCCGGATAGCCTTCTCCATCGCACTTTTCTCTAATATTCCCTATAAAGCCAGGCGGCCCGTTCAGCCAGATCCATCCCATTTCAACAGGTTCTTCATTTTTCATATATTTCTTTCAGACATAATTTCCCTACTTTATCTGCACCCAATTAATCCGGCCATTTCTATCTTCAAATAGAATTTCATCACCCTGCAGGCTTTCAATATCGATTTGGAATCTGTAAACCAGCTTATTGATTAGTATTGCTGCTTGAATACTGGGAAGCAGAAGAGACTAAAAGGACAGAAGAAAAGGTAGTCCTTATCATATTGTTTCAGTAACTTCTGTGCATGCCTGTCTCACTATAAACTTGTTTCAGCATAAGCTTAATCTTCATTTTACAGGGAAAACATGTCAGATTTAAAGGAGACCCTGTAACTTGCAGTTTCCCTTGAGAGTTGGATTGGGCTATAAAAAGGGCTCCGGATAGCCTTCTCCATCGCACTTTGAACGAGTTACTTCTCTAATATTCCCTATAACACTAATGCTGGCTGTACTGGCCAGCATTAATGAATAGCTGGGCGGGTGGGGGGTGGGTGATTATTTAAAAATAATAATTCACCCACCCCTCTGTTTGTGTGTGGCCTGTACAGCCTGTACAGCTAGCACAACTCTACCTATAAAGCCAGGCGGTCCGTCCAGCCATATCCATCCCTTTCATATATTTCTATCAGTTCTATTTCCCTACTTTACCCGCACCCAATTTATCTGGCCATTTCTATCTTCAAATAGAATTTCGTCACCCTGCAGGTTTTCAATATCGATTTTGGAATCTGTAATTGTAAACCAGCTTATTGATTAGTATTGCTGCTTGAGTACTGGGAAGCAGAAGAGACCAAAAAGACAGAAGAAAAGGTAGTCCTTATCATATTGGTCAGTAAATACCGTGCATGCCGTATTGTTTCAGCATAAGCATCATCATTATTTTACAGGGAAAACATGTCAGAATTAGGGCATCTCCAATAGTGGACCAAAATACCAAATTTCATCAAAATTTGGCGCAAAGTAGTGCAATGTCATATTTGACCTTTTTTTTCATTTGTCAAAGTAATTCATGGAGAGTATTTCGTGTTATTTGTGTTATATATTTTTTAATACAATATTTTTCATTATTATTATTATTTGCATTAAAATAAATTTTAAATGTGAAATAATTAATGAATTAATTAAAATAAGAATACAAAAAAATTTAAAAAATAATTAATGAATTAAATATTTTTTAATTTAACGTAATTATTTATTTTTAAAATAAATAAATAAATAATCTTTCTAATAAATAAATGATTTAGAATAAAAAAGGAATATGATTAAACACTGTTCATTTTGTGTAATTTTAATGTAATGGTTGGAGATGATTTTTAGTTTAGTACAAAATGATATAAATTTTGGTGTAGGGTTGGAGATGGCTTTAGAAGAAAACAATCTTTTCGACGTTGAAGCCCAGCAATTACCGTTGCTGCCAACACACGAACCAGAAAGTACTTCACGGACTTTGCAGAGGGTAATTTTGTTGATACGCTCGGCCAACCTTTTCAAGTTATCGGGAGAAAACTATTCCACCGACAGCTCTTCATCTGATTCGAGCGTATCAATATCGTTGCCTGCTTATAATTCTGTTGGCACTGCTGATGGTGAAGATAATGCGGTACGTAGTAGTAAGTAGTAACTTATATCATCTCTTTTCCAACTTAATTTTAGAGTTCAGTAAATCATATATGTACGATCAAGACTGCAATAATTAATCATCATCATTTCTTCTGCATAAATAATCAGGGTTCCGAAATCGTGGAAGCTGCACATGTTACGCTGGAGTTTCACGAGGATTCCTTAATTGTCAACTCTACACCCCAGAATGAATACACCAGTACTATTGAGCTCCAGCGCATCCAGATGGGAAACATCACCGAGATGGTAAAGACAATGAACTTGGACGAACTTCATAATTATGGAGGAGTCCAGGGAGTTGCAGATGCATTGAACACTGATCTCATTAATGGACTTTCTGATAACCTTGAAGCTTTTTCTAAATGCAATACAAACGAACTCTCTCAAGCCCTCACCTTCTTCCACTTCTTTAAGGAAGGGTGCAACAATTACACAATCTTCCTTCTATCATTAGCTGCCGTCTTATCCCTGTCCTTTGGAATTGAGAAAGAAGGCGTAGCGAATGGCTGGTTTGATGGGACAATTTTACTTGTTGCCATCTTTGTACTTGTTGTTTTCATAGCAATACGTTCTTACTCCCAAGCAAGGTGGTACGAGAAGAAGTTCAAGAAACAATGGTTTTCAGAAGGGAGGAATGGGAAAGTAAAAGTTATCAGATCAAGGGGTCCTTTAGTAGTTCCTTCATCTGGTCTACGTGTTGGTGATCTAGTATGTTTAATGAAGGGATATCAGGTTCCAGCCGATGGAATATTTGTAGATGGTCAAGCACTAAAATTGGACGATGGGTCAAGTCTGACAATTGACAACGAACACCCATTTTTGTTCTATGGTTCAAGGGTGATCAATGGAGATGCTCGAATGATTGCGACATCTGTGGGGATGGACACAGTGTGGGGCGAGATGATAGGCAAGGAGATTGAGTCTCCTGAAAAGAGGTGCGAATTTGAAGTTTTACTTCATAAGTTGAGAACCCGTGTGGACTTTACTGCACTTCTACTCTCAACCCTTATCCTTACAGTTATGTTTCTACGATATTCACTGGGAAAAAGAGATGATGAATCCGGTCATAGACCAGATCCAAAGGGAGAACCTACTCATTTGAAAACTATTATAAATGTCATCAAAGGAATTATAATAGAATCAAAGGGGACAGCAAGAGTTTTGATTGCTTCGCTGAGTGTCTCAGTGGTAGGGATAATGGAAGGCATACCTTTTGTCATTTCATTTGCAGTCACCCGTTGGAGCCGAAAAACACTAGCAGAAAACGCTTCAGAGAAAGACCCACTAGCTTGTGTGAAGGTAGCATCAGTTACAGCCATTTGCACTGACAAATTTGGTGGATTGACGGAGCACCAAAAGGAAGTTGACAAGTTTTTTGTGGATAAGGAATTTGTTGGGGAAAGCTCCATGGTATCACCAAATGTCCTCGAATCTTTATGTGATGGAATTGGAATATCACTTCTGTCGTCATCTCCCAGAGGTAATGATGAGGAATTGGTACTTATCTCCTGGGCTGAAGATAAATTTGGTTTACGAAGGGAAACCCTAAGACATCAATGCAGCGTTGTCAAGCACAACGAGGGTAATCTTTTCCAATGTAGTGAAGCACTTTTGCTGAAAACCACAGAAAATGGACAAGAGTGTCATTTACATTATAAAGGACCTCCTCAGGATATTTTGTCCATTTGTTCTAGTTACTATAACGTTGAAGGGGAAATACATTCAATAGATGGTGAAAAAAGGAGAATGTTTGAACAAGCTACTGACTATATGCTAGATGGACAAGAAGTGATCGCATATGCTTGGAAACGCACAGATGCGTCTAATGATATGTCAATTGAAGCAAACGATTTGATCTTTGTAGGAATGGTTGGCCTGAGAAACATAGATCAGGATTGTATAAGAAATGCTGTCTCAACTTTGAGAAAAGGTGGAGTTAGGACTATTCTTGTCTCAGGAGATTGTATTGATGTACTTAGAACTATTGGCAACAACTGTGGGCTGCTTACTCCGGAGTCGGATGCTCTAACAGGTGAGGAATTTAGGAACCTAACTGACGGAGAGAGAAGGCAGAAGTTGGACAGAATCTGTATCATCGGAAACTGTACCTTGCACGACAAGGTTCTTCTGGTGAAGTGCTTGAGAGAAAAAGGTGAAGTGGTTGCAATGTTGGGGCAGAAAACAAATGATGCTCCAGCACTAAAAGAAGCTGATATAGGGCTGACAATGGGGACTTGGAGCTCAGAAATTGCCAGAGATTGCTCGGAGATCATTATCTGGAACGGGGATTTTACTTTTCTTGTTAAGCTGATCAATAACGGGAGATGCAATAATGAGAACATAAGAAAATTCATCCAATTCCAGCTCATAATTACCATATCAAGCTCATTTATTAATTTCATCGCAACTATAGTTTGGGGGGATGCCCCCATGACAGCATTTGAGTTGTTCTGGTTGAACATGGTGGTTGCAATTCCTGGAGGCTTGGCACTGCTGAGTGAGTGTCCAAAAGAAAGCCTAATGAAAATGCCTCTGAAATCAGCTGGACAACTTATTACCAAGGCCATGTGGAGAAATATTGCCCTACAAGCTTCTTATCAAACTGCCATATGTCTGACTCTTCACCTCAAAGGACGTGCAATCCTTGGAATAGGTGCTGGCCCCATTAAGTCCATGATTTACAATTCCTTGTTTCTCTGCCAGTTATTCAACTTATTCGTTGCTAGAGAGCTTGAAAAGAAGAATATTTTCAAAGGTCTTCACCAGAATAGATGGTTTTGGGTGGCATGTGCTATTTTTCTAACGTGTCAAGCAGCAATGGTGGCAGCAGACAATGTGTTCGACATTAGTACGAGGTTGAACTGGATGTTGTGGGCTTCATGCATTCTAATCGGACTAATTTCATGGCCGCTGGATTTCGCAGGGAAATGGATTGGTTCGCTAGTATTCCTTTCCTGATAATGAATTTATTTTTATTTTTGGTATGTCATGCATGCATTTTTTTATTATGCATGTAAATATCAATAAAGATACTTGGATGCTGTAAAAATTACAGCTCTCCCCACTTTTATATGGGAGAGGGGTGTACAAGTTGTTGTACATGTAGCACTTTGGTGTAAATATAAGCCATTTACTCTCTTTTTGTATTATAAATATTGTAAAATATGAGTTGTGGATCATCCATGTGAGGTGATCTGACCCACAAGTTATTAAAGTGGATTGGAGGGAGTGATTTGAATAGAATTCAAATTCATAACTTCCCTCAATTTTTATCAACTTCCATAACTTTATTTTGCACTTTTGAGAGAGAGAGAGAGAGAGAGAGAGAAGGTAAGAATAAAATGAAATTCGTATAGAAAATCACTCAAAAATAGAAAAATGCCTGAAACGACATATATGACATGAAAATTCATAAAATTAGACATTTAAATTGTAGATAATAATCCCTCATCCATTGTGATAGGGACTGAGACTATTGGAGAAGAAGAAAATGAAGATTTTGAAACTTTAAAATACAAGGTGATTCAACTACATAGATTTTGGAATTCATTTTTTCAAGTAAGGAGTCTTGATCCGAAATTTATGATTACGCATGTTTCAAATTATTACATTGGCATCAGAGCCGTAAAGTTGATTTCCTTACTATAATACATGCTTAAATATTATATTACATGATTCAATTGAGTTATAAATCTTACATGTAAAGTTTCGAAACCTTATATGGTCTTTAATGACATTTTTTGATATATCTGTTTAAAATTAATGAAATTTTGCAATTAATCTATTAATCACTCTCCTCCACTAGTGTCATGGCAAGTATACATATTTCAATTAGCTAACACCAGAATAAATTACACCAACAAAATAAACAATAATGATGTCACATGTCACTTTATTATTGGATCGTTTTAAACACAGATAGTTTTTCATCCATTCAAATTTGTCAACACATATTATGTCACTTTATCTATCAATCACTTTTTGGCAAAGTGACATAACCCAAAATAAAATAACCATGGCGTTCTCTAAATACAGACATCCATCGTCCTCAATGTGTAGTTATCTTCTCTTATCACTACCAAGTTTAGCATTTAGCAAGCATCAAATATGTTTGAATTCACTAAAATTCGGGTTTTCCAAGTTTTATCCATTTAAATAAAAACAAAACAAGAGCAATTGCATTCCACATACAGAACTAACGATTTTTTTTTATTTTTTTTTCCAAAAGGATCAATTGCCCAAGAATGCAAAGGTTTGTGTCTTAATTTGCACCAAGATTTAAAGATTTAGCCTCCATTTTTTGTAATAAAAATGGGTGGAATAGTATTTTTTTGAAAAATGAGTGGTTGGACAGAGGAAAAAGTTTTCGATTTAAGTGTAATATTTATTTTATGAAAATAAGAAAGAGAAAAATAAAATAGAATTTAATAAGAGCGAGCATAGTTTTTTTCTCGCAAATCTATCCCTTTTAAAAATAGATGGGTTTAAGTCAACCCAGCATAGTTTTTTTCCTTGCAAATCGATTCAATAAAGTAACTTGACAATTTTTTGATAGAGTTCAGTGTTTAGCAATTTGCTTATCACACCAGTAAAAGTTACTTTTTAACTAAACTGCTATAATGTTCAACCCTCGCTTGCAATCACCGAATTTCATGTTTAATGTACCGTTATTGCAAACCACAAATCTTTTTGTAGATATAAATTACCATTACAGAATAAAGCAGAGAAAAGAAAATAAAACATATAAGCATGCGTGAAAACACAGTACCCAACAGTTCTTCAAAATCAGATCTAATCATGTATCAATTAATTCACAAACTCAACAAAATAAAGGTAGTAATACATACAAATTAATTAATTGACTTAATACCTTAGATATTTGTAGTAGTAAATCATAGGTGACGATGACTAAACTGGTCTTCTGTTCTTCTTGAATCGCCATGGATGATGATATTATCAGATGTATACGCTGGCACAATCATTTGAATATGCTGTATTCAAATTGCAATATTATAATGTGTGATGATTGTGACAAGTTGACCATAAATTAAGGTAAGTCAATTGTATATCACTTTATCTCCTCCAATTAGGTTTTTTGAACAAAAAAAATTTCTCCAATCATGAGACCCTAGTCGGTGCATGCATGTGAGGAGAGAGATACTTTTCAAACATTTAAGAAAATTGACACTTTTTGTCCTCAAACTTTTTTAGCACCATATATCATCCGCCTTTCGAAAATGTAGCAAAACTCGTCCCTCCGTCCATTTTAACCTTTTTGCAACTAGGTCATTAAATACAGTTGCTTAGAGATAAATGAACATGAGAATTAGAGAAATTACAACTTAACTACAGTTTGGTTTGTTAGCAAACGATCAGGTTCTTATCTTCTTTTCTAAATTAGTAATTCTTTTGATTCATTATGCAAGTAGATCATTTGTGGGGAAGAAGAATTTGCCGACAGAACTTAAAAGTTTGGATTTACGCTATATGACTGCTAATTATACACTGGTTTCTCATATAATTAAATATTTCTGGAGAAACTTAGTTACATTCTAATTGATAGTTTGATAAAAATAATAAATTAATGAAGGCCCAGAAAAAAAGAAAATAATTTGTGGGTCATTAGCCAGAGATCTTTTTCATTCACAGAAATTAATTAGTTTTTTTAACAAGAATTGGCCTGGATTGTGTTAGAAATCTGAGCTTTTCTTTGGCTGCACCGGAACATATCTTGGCAACATCTATTATGTCACCTACTTTCTGACAAAGTAGCATTAATCATTTTCAGGAATAAACTGAGTTTTATTTCTCAAGACAGGCCACGATTCGTGCAAGTTTGAGTATCTCCCCTAATCACCAATTCTTGAATCGGACCCGACAGACCAGACCAGGCTTCTTCTCGTGTACCAAGAATTGCTTAACAAGACCATGATTATCTAACTTCTAAAACCACAAGTTTTGGCACTTAATAAGGCCATCCAGGAAATTACAAGGGGCTAAATATATTCTTATCATATTTTAATCGTATGAAAGATTTATAGCATTTATTCATTATCATATTTATGTCCTCAACTTTTTTATGTTATCATTCTCAAATTAATATTAGTTGTCCTATCATGAGATGAAATAAAAATACTTATATGTCCCTCTTATTTTTAAATAAGCCAAAAAGACAAAATTAAGATTAAATATTTATTCCTCATTTTAAAGCATACTAATAATATTTTTGGACGAAAACTGTGATGAAGCACAAGATTTGAAATGTAAAAGATAAAAATATAACGCAAAAAGTTAAAAATAATAAACGTAGTGATGCTAAAGTTCAAGACCTTTAATATAAATAAATAACAAGATGCGGCGTGGATATAATATAGTTAATTATTGATAGCCAACCAGGTGGCATCTACAAATACCTGTTTTGGAGAAGATCATTGGTAGACACTCTAGGTCCACCACGTGCATCAAATTAATCTACCTAACCCAATTGTCGTATTGAGGTAAAGACTTAAAGAGACGACGCCAGCCTTGACTCTGCAAAATTGGTTCCACATATCATCATCCATGGTGATTCATGACACGACCCATTCCAAATCATTCTAGTGGACTCGAAACGTGATTACGTTGATGATAAATACTGACTAGATATCAAATCTATCATCAAAACTGACTATAAGATATTTAAAAAAAAATGCAACAAAATCAAATACTTATATAAAAATATAATGCGATGGACCCAAAATATTTACTTCGTGCTTCATCAAAATGAGTTATAACACTCAACATGTCTTATGACTCTCATTCCAAGATCATTAGGTTCTTCCAGTTAAAAAGAATCAATTTCCACCGATAGGAAAAATTGTGAAAAAATATATGAGTTGATAACTCAGTGAATTGAGCAGTTCGAAAATAATTATACTTTTTCAATTTTACATTTATATCGAAAGTGGAGTTCATATCATTTAATAATTCACAAGATAACATCATGTAATTATAACAAAAAGTGAAATATTCACATAAAATCATAAAATATCATCTCAAAATCATGATATAGACATCAGCTGATAACCATCTATAATCTCATCACATCAAATGTACTGAAAAATCCACAAAAAATGTACCCTCTGACTGAAATATATAATCAGTCCATCGGGCTAAGAACTTTTGCTACGGGCCTTTGGCCCCTCCGTAAATGAAAGTCGGCCTCAAAAATCTCTCATAATCAATTTTAGAACACGGTCAAGGCCCTTCTGTGAATTATATGTACACGATCAAGACCAATGTTAGGTCAAGACCCTCCGTGTAGGATAGAACACGGCCAAAGCCCCTCTGTGAACTTGAAGAATTATATAATCATGGGTACTTTTCTGACCGATTTCAATATTGCATGTCTCACATACCAAACAAATCTCAATATCACATGTCTTATATAGTAAGTTACAAACGTGCCATAAATAATTTTTGAGATTCCACATGTATCATACTAAAAGAGATTTCCATAATAACCGTATAATTCGAACACATAATTGCACATACTTTGATAATATACTTAATTTGTAAATATTTTAAAAATATTTATATTTTTCCACTCACAGTACTATGTTAGTAAAATCAACTCGGTTGGTAAGCTGTTCTGATATCAGTACCGTCGCTTGAAATATGATATAATTTTTAAATAATTTCAATAATTAAATAGGCGATACCCAAACTTAATCATTTTATATTTGGGCGATTTCTAAAGTCTCTTTAATCGCTAAAACTAGTTTTTCTTTCATCTTACTCAATTTCATAGTTTATTATACTTAACCCCTTCAATAAAATTGAATTTAGTCTAACAATATAACAACTATAAAATCAAACATGACTTAACAATAAGTAACTTTTTACTTACCTTTCAAAATTGAGGAATTCAAACATAATAATGTAGACCACTTAATTCTTAACACGTTGACATTTTTTTTTATTTTCTTCTTCTTCTTCCCTTTTTTTTTTCTTCTCTCTTCTCTTTCTCTTTTTCTCTTTCTTTCTGCCTCGGCTTCTCTTGCGTGTATTAGTGTGTGTTTGTGTGTGTAATTGGATAGGTTTTCAACTTAGGTGGATTGATCGCCTCATTATTATTATTTTTTATTGTTTTTAGCTCCTTTTTTTTTCTTTTTCTTTTTTTTACTTTTTTACTTTTTGACTTTTCTTTAATTATATTAATGTATTACAAAACTCACCCCTTAAAAGAATTTCGTCCTCGAAATTCAATTAATTAAGTGCGAAAAAGTAGTGGATACTGAGAACGCATCCGCTCTTCACTCTCCCATGTCACTTCTTCTACAGCATGATTTCTCTAACGAACTTTTAGTCCCAAAATTTATTCTTTCATGTCATACTTTTAATAAGTTTCTAAACAAATATATGAAATCCTCATCTGTTCTCTCTCTCTCTCTCTCTCTCTCTCTCTCTTTGGGTTCCAAAACCTTAGGAAAACTCAATTATTTTTCCATTTTGAAGTTTAAAACACTACTTTTCATGTTCTCCAAATCTTCACCTTAAATCCTAATTTAAACCATTCTCTAATCACATTCTTTTTCTATAACAATGGTTACATATTAAGATCGAACAACATTCTTTCATCCATTTCGTCATACGTCCTTGGAATATTTCAATATTATATATATAACCTCAAGTATCATCACTTGTGTCTTGGTTTTATATGTCAATTTCATGAGAATAAATAATTATCCCTATAATCAACCAATCATAGTTTATAACCCTTTGCATTTTGAAATAATTGCTGCTAAATTAAAAAATAGCGTCTGAAAACCCGTTACGCGTTAAAATAATTTATTTTTTTGCGGGTCTGGACGTTCAGTCATTTGAAAATAACATTATTTTTAACTTAAAACTTTTTAGTGTATGGAGACCCAATTCGCGAGGAAGAAAAAAAGGAAAAAATTCAAACAAATTTAACGTCATTTACTCGAAATAAAATTTATTCGTTGGACCCAGAACCCAACGTTGGGTTCATCACGAGAAATTTTTTCCCCACCTCATATAAATTTGAGCCGTTGCTCCTACAATTGCCTCCCGCAATTATGTAAACACGTTCAAAACTCTTTTCATTTTGAAATAGTTGCTACTAAATTAGAAAATAGCATCTGAAAACCCTTTACGTGTTAAAATAATTTTTTTATTTGCGGGTTTGGACGTTCGATTATTTGAAAATAACATTTTTTTAACTTATAACTTTTCTGTGCACGGAAACCCAACTCGCGAGAAAAAAAAACAGGAAAAAGAAAAGAAAAACACCAAACAAATTTTAATGTCATTTAAAATTTACTCGTTGGATTGAGAACCCAACATTCATCACGAGATTTTTTTTTCCCACCTCACACAGATTTGAGCCGTTGCTCCTGCAATCACTTCCTGCACTAATGTAACACACGTTCAAAACCCATTGGCTTTATTTCAAGATTTTCCCCCCCACCTTACATAGATTTGAGCCGTTGCTCTTACAATCACCTCCCGCAATAACCTAAACACGTTCAAAACCCATTGTATTTTGAAATATAGTGGCTACTAAATTAAAAAATAGCATCCGACAACCCTTTACGTTTTAAAATATTTTTTTTTATTTGCGAGTTTGGAAGTTCAGTTATTTTCAAATAACAATTTTTTAATTTAAAACTTTTTAGTGTACAAAAATCCAACTCGCGAGGAAAAAAAGGACAGAGAAAAAAAAGACCAAACAAATTTAATGTCATTTACTTCCAACGTTGGGTTCTCACCTTACATAGATTTGAGCCGTTGTTCATGCTATCACCTCTCGCAATGACGTAAACACATTCTAAACCCATTTCATTTTGAAATATACTTGCTACTAAATTAAAAAATAGTGTGTGGAAACCCTTTACGTTTTAAAATATTTTTTTCTATTTGCGAGTTTGGACGTTCAGTTATTTGAGAATAACATTTTTTTAATTTAAAACTTTTTAGTGTAAGGAAACCCAACTTGGGAAGGAAAAAAAAAGACCAAACAAATTTAATGTAATTTACTTGAAATAAAATTTAT